GGCTCCCTAAAGTTTGTGTGAGTTGCAAAAAATATGGTCACCTAGCTATTAGCTGTGCTGAAGTAATCAAGGCCTCAAAGAAGGCTAAGGATACTAAAGAGGTTCCAGTTTGGAGAAGGAAGGTGAATCCGAATGCTTCTGTTGCTTCTGTTAAAGATGGAGCTGCTGGTCCCTCTGGCCTCCCAAAGCTTTCTCTATGTTCTGATATAATACAGGCTAGGGGGACCAGCAAATGGTTACTAGCCTGAAAGTGGGTGGTGCTGAAGTTATATCTGCTCTTGCTCTTCAGGAGGATAACATCGACACTTTGAATGGAGATAGGGGAAAATCTGATTGTCATCCTCATTGTTCAAAGGTTGATACACATCCTTGTGCTTCTGATTTGATGCCTGTTCAGACTCAGGCTTTTCATGCCTGTAATTATGCCCCTATGCAAGAGTTAAAGGGAGATGCTATAAATATTCTTCAGGATTCTGGAAATGTTGACAATCCTGGTTTAGCTGTTAATGAACTCAAGGAGAGTAATCCTTCTGGTTTTGTTTACATGGGGATTGTTGGTGATAAGGTTGTGACTAAAGCTGCTTGTGGAGGTGACTTCCCCACTTTACAGGACTCTTTAAATCAAAAAAAAGAAGGCTAGGGGGAAAAGGAAGGACAACTCTGGCTCTTCTAGCAAAATGGAGGCTATTGTTGGGGGTGCAGTTTTTAAAGGCACTAGGAAAGCTAGGACAGTATCTCTGGGAGTTGCTATGCTTTTAAATGAAATTAAGGCAAAAAAGAAAAACCATGTGGATAGGGCCAAAGGTTTAGAGGTTAGTTGTAGTGGAGACCCTTCTGTTGCAAATAAATGATTTTGTGTTTTTGGAATGTTAGGGGAATAAATAATGGCCTCAAGCTAAGTAGAGTGATTAGGAGAATGGAGGATTTAAATGTTGATGTTGTTTGCATCATAGAAACTAGAGTGAGAAGTTGTAATTACTCTAAGGTTGTTGCTGCTCTAGTTACGGATTGGAATGTTACTTCTAACTATGAATTTTCTGATGGTGGCAGAATTTGGATATTGTGGAGGAATGGTTTATCTTTTTCTTTCCTAAAGGGCTGTGATCAAGCCCTGTCTATAATAGGTGATGTGGCTGGGCATAATTTAGTGGTTACTGCTATCTATGGCAGTAATAACAGCTTGGAGAGAAGAAAACTTTGGGACCATTTGAATAATTTAGATTCTGTAATTGGTTCCTCACCTTGGCTCATTGGAGGTGACTTCAATGTTACTGCCAATGCTCAGGAAAGCTCTGATTTTGGTAGTTTGGGCTGGTATTGCACTTCTGATATGAAGGATTTTAAAGATTGTTTGATTGATTTGGAGCTGCAGGACCACCCATTTTCTGGCCCTTTGTTCACCTGGTCCAATAAGCAAGAAGACTCTTTCCTGGCACGAAAGTTAGACAGAATCCTCATTAATTCTCAATGGTTGCTAGAGTTTCCTGACTCTTCTGTGGAGTTTCAGGCTCAAGGGGTTTCTGATCACTGCCCTGGGATTATTTGGACTCAGAAGACTGCCCAAATCCATAGGCCTAAACCTTTCAAGTTTTTCAATTGTTGGACTGATAATGAAGATTTTCTGAGGGTTGTTAAGGATTCTTGGAGGAACAGTTTGCTGGTGACCCTATGTTAAACTTGTTTGGCAAATTGAAAAGGCTTAAGCCTCTCTTAAGGGATCTAAATAAGAAATATTTTTCTAACATTTCTGGTAGAGTGGCTGCGAAGAAAGCTGAGCTGGAAAATATTCAGATCTTTAATCTTGCAAATGTTGGCCACAGAAGAGTGGCTGAGGAGAAAAAGATCCAGGCTGAATTGATTGCACTTGAAGCAGTTGAATCTGAATTTTATAGACAAAGAGCAAAAGTGCATTGGTTGCAAGAAGGTGACCGAAGTACTAGGTTTTTTCACCAGAGAGTTGAGTCTAACAAGAAGAGAAACACAATCAGAATTATCAAAGATGAAAATGGGAGTTTGCATGAATCTTTTGATGGCATGGCTGCTGAATTGCTAAAATTTTTCCAGCATCTCATTGGTACTGATGATCCCTTTGCTAAGGGTTGTTCTGTGGTCTGGCTACAATCTTTGCTGGCTTATTCTTTGCCTGAGGGTACTGGTGATTACCTTGTTGGAGAGATCACTGATAAGGAGATCAAGGAAGCTCTTTTCAGGCAGGGTAAGGACAAAAGCCCTGGGCCTGATAGTTACACATCTTGGTTTTCCAAGGCAGCCTGGGAGACTGTTGGCAGTGATTTCCTTAATGCAGTAAGATTCTTCTTCCACTCATCTTCCCTCCTGCCAGCCTTTAATGCCACAACCATTGTATTGGTTCCTAAATCTTTAAATGCTTGTATGGCCAAAGATTTTAGACCTATATCTTGCTGCTCAGTTGTCTATAAAACTATTACTAGAATTTTGGCTACTAGGCTAGCATCTGTTTTTCCTGATATGATTTCCCTTAGTCAGTCAGCTTTTGTTAAAGGTAGAAATATTGCTGAAAATACATTGCTTGCACAAGAGATTGTTAGGGGTTATTCTAGGAAAAATCTCTCCCCTAGATGTTCCTTAAAGATTGATCTTCAAAAGGCTTTTGATTCTGTTTCTTGGGACTTTTTATTGACTGTCCTTCAAGCCTTGGGCCTGCCTGAAACTTTCTGTGGTTGGATTAAAGCTTGCATTACAACTCTTAGGTACTCTATTTCTTTAAATGGCAGTTTGGTAGGGTATTTCAGGGGTGCTAGAGGAGTGAGGCAAGGTGATCCTTTATCCCCCTATCTTTTTGTTCTAGTGATGAATGTCCTCTCATCATTATTGAATGTTTCTGCTAAGCATGGAGTGTTTAGGTTCCATCCAAAATGCAAAAAAATCTCACTTACTCATCTTTGTTTTGCTGATGACCTTTTCATTTTTTGCCATGGATCCTTGGAGTCTGTTTTGGGTGTTGTTAGCATTCTAGACAGATTCTATGAACTTTCTGGCTTAAGGCTTAATGCTATGAAATCTGAATTGTTTGCTTGCGGGGTGCCTCGGTGTAGTCTGGATCTGATTTGTATAGCTACTGGTTTCAAGCATGGTCAGTTGCCTGTTAGGTACTTGGGTGTGCCTTTGGTTACTCGAAAACTTTCTAGCAAAGACTGCTCAGCTTTACTTGTGAGAATCAAGGATAAAATTGATAAATGGTCGAGCAAGCACTTACGCTTTGGGGGGAGGCTACAGTTGGTTAAGTCGGTTCTGTTTAGTATCTTTGGCTATTGGAGCAGGCAGCTGGTCTTGCCCAGAGGGGTCATCAGAGATGTTGAAAAATTATGCATGAGGTTTTTTTTGGAAAGGTTGTGATATTTCAGCTAGAGGGGCTAGAGTGAGTTGGAGTCAGGTTTGTTCTTTAAGATCAGAGGGTGGTCTGGGCTTGAGGAAACTTTCTGACTGGAGTAGGGCATGCTGCTTCATGCTCATCAGGAAAATTCTAGCTGATGAGGGCTCTTTGTGGATTGCTTGGCTCAAATCTTATTGTTTAAAGGCTATGGATTTTTGGACAGTTGACTGTAAGCCTCATTTTAGCTGGATCCTAAGAAAGCTGGTGAAAATGAGGGAGGAGGCTTGGGGACTTTTTGGTTCTGCTGTTGTTTTGTCTCAGATTAGAGGTGCATGGATATGGGACCATATCCGTGAGAGGAGGGACAAGGTTGAATGGCACAAATTGATTTGGTTTCCTGCTCATGTCCCAAAATTTTCCATTGTGGCTTGGATGGTGATTCTGGATAGACTTCCTACAAATGATAGGTTAGACAGATTTGGAATTCAGGTTGATCATATCTGTGGTCTGTGTGGAGTTGAGCTGGAATCTCGGAATCACTTGTTTTTAGAATGTTCTTTCGCCCGAGAGGTTTGGGATGTAATCTTGCAGACTTGTGGTCTTCATAACCAGTCGATTCTTTGCACTGGCTGGCCTTGAATTTGAGGGGTAAATCCCTTCTTGTTTGTATCCTAAAGCTTGCTTGGACTGGTTTTGTCTATTTTCTTTGGGAGGAACGTAATCATAGGCTGTTTAGAGGTGTTAATCGTTCGGTTGATGCAATTGTTCATAAAATTAGAGATTCTATAAGAATTAAATTGTATAGATGCAGTATGAACTTGATTGATGATGTAAATAGGAGGCTATGTCTAGATTGGGATTTGTCTTAGTGTTATATTGTTCTTTGTAACAACTTGCTGCTCTTTTAGATGAATAAAATCTTTACTTATCCAAAAAAAAAATAATTAAATAAAATCAATAAAAATATTTCAAGTGCAATCAGCAAAATTTATCGCAAAATCACGAGTAAAATTAAAGTACGAAATAGATAAATAGTTTATTCTAATAAATAAAACAAAAGTATTGTAATAATAATAGTACAGGTAAGAAGATAAGAAAAAGGGGACACAGTGGACTCAAACTCGCCTAACCAAATCGGGTAGTTATGAACTTATGGTAATTTTAACATACGAGAAAGATTCTATAAAAAAAATATTAATATATTTTTAATATTTTTAATAAAACGTTATCTAAAATATTATTTTTTATCAAAAATATTAATTTTGCTATCTAATTTTTAGTAGAAAAAATAACATTTTAGTTAACGTCTAATATTAATATTTCAAGTAGAAAAAATAATATTTTAGGTAACGTTTTACCGAAAATATAACGTCCAATATTAATATTTTTCGGTAAAAATTAATATTTTAAATAATATTTTACCTAAAATTTTAAAAAAAAATATAAAATTTTAAATGTATATTAAGATTTCCGTACCGGATACGTACGAACCAAATCTTATCCGCAATCAGATTTCCAAACAATAGAAATTCTTTTCTTAACGACGGCGGTAGCACGTTATTGTCTTCCGAAAATTACCTTACTACCTCCATGTTCGAACAAGTCTGCCAATAGTAAAAGGTCCAACAAGGGTAATTAAGATATTTTGAAGTCGAATAAAACAATATAAACGAATATCCTTTTTGGTTTAACCTTTTCTTCTATTGTCTTCTCTCTTCTCAATCATTTGAGAGATACTGACTCCCTCCAAAACGAAGTCGCTGAAGCCCAATCGGAGAGTTACGGTCGCCGTTTATACGCCGCTTAACTTTCATAATCGGAGCTCCGACATCCACTGTTCACAAGGTGCGTTTCTGATTACATCGCTTTGCTTTGTTTGGCTTGGCTTTGCCTTGTTTTGATTTTCATTGCTCTTTACATTCGTAATATATTTATTTTGTTTGATTCTCAGATAATGGAGCGAAAAAAGTGGCTAGTTTTGGTGATTTTTACATGTTTAATTGCATCTTCTAGCTGTAGAGGTACTTGTTAAATTCAATTCTTTTAATTTCCTTTGTTTTTTTCTTTCAAAATTAGGTCTTTCTGTTATAATTTTAGTGAATTGTTCCTGATCAATGCAAATAAATGTTGAAATCAGCTCAATATATACAATTTTAATTGATTTTTGTAGCTTTTGAGATGGTAGAAGTTTAGTTTATTAAGGAATTTGCTTCCGTTTACTGCAGACTTGCAGGTCAAAGACAACCATAAACACGCCATCTACAATCATTCTCTTGCGACCATTTTGGTGGAATATGCTTCCGCGGTAATTGAGCTTGAAGGTTTAAATAATTGCTAAGGAAATTTTAGTTTATTCTTAGAGTAGATAGGTGAATGAGTTCAATTTTGTTGCCTAAGACGTTTTTATAAGAGTGCTGTTTTCTTCACTATATTTCTTTGTATTCGTTATTGTTTTTACCATTTGTTCCTGTAGGTGTACATTTCAGATTTGACGGAACTTTTTACTTGGACATGTGAACGATGTAATGGTTTGACCAAGGTTCTTGATTAGTTGATTTTCTACTTGATTTTCTTTAATATTGGGTGTTTAAGTAGGTTTCTAGTCGAATGGGTTTCCCTAACACTCCTTGATATGGAAACAGGGATTTGAAGTTATCGAGCTAGTCGTTGATGTTGAGAAATGTTTACAGGTTCATATATTTGTTCCCTTTGATATTTATTGAAATTATGACCCATTTTGGTGTTACACTTGGGAATACTTTTGTTTGTGTTTGACATTAAATTGACAAATAATTGATAGGCATTTGTCGGAGTGGCGAAGGATCTTAATGCCATTGTTATTGCCTTCAGAGGAACGCAAGAACACAGGTACTAATATTTCCCCCTGTACTTTCTGTTCAACCTATATTTTCAAAAGAATAGGCATTCATGGCATCAAAACCTAAATGGTAAACAAATTATGAATTATGCAGAAACCGGTAATCTTTTGTCCTTTTGATTATGTTTTACTGTTTTTTGTTTGATTGATTTATCTGTCTGTTTGCAGCATACAAAATTGGATTGAAGACTTGTTCTGGAAACAGCTTGATTTAAATTACCCTGGCATGCCTGATGCTATGGTATGCAAAACAAATTCCTTCTGGTTTTTAATTTTACGCCAGAGTGATTGTAATTAATGTTTTGTCTTCTTTGGCTATTTCAGGTGCACCATGGATTTTATACTGCTTATCATAACACAACCATTCGCCATGGAATTCTCCATGCTGTCAAAGAAGCAAGAGAGTTTTATGGGGAGCTTGACATCATGGTTACAGGTCATTCGATGGGAGGGGCTATGGCTTCCTTTTGTGCACTTGATCTAACGGTAATCTTGAGCCTTTCTTGCTTCATCTGGAAATATATTATTGTTGTTTTCATTGTGCTGTAACTGGGAAACCTTCTATTCTGCAACATTGTTTTATATTATGTACCATGGCATTTCCAAATCTTTTTTGAGTCAAATTTCCTGCCAAAATTATGGGAGCTTTGCTGGTTGCTTTGTCGGAGTTGTAACAAGAAAATTATCTTTATTCCCAGGTTAATCATGAAGCCAATAATGTTCAAGTTATGACATTTGGACAACCTCGTATAGGGAATGCTGCCTTTGCTTCTTATTATGCCAAGCTTGTGCCGAATACTATTAGAGTGACAAATGACCATGATATTGTGCCTCATCTGCCACCATACTATACTTATTTCCCTCATAAGACATACCATCACTTCCCTAGAGAGGTAAGTATCCGTGATTGTTGAAATTAATCCTCTATGATTTCTGGTATTACTTGGCATGTAAATGTAGACATAACAGTTTACTAATTAGATTATTATCAATTATTGGTTCTTGATTATAGAAAATTGAATGTTATGTAACTTTCAGTATAAAAACTTTTTCTACCCTTGAGGAGTCCTGAATTGTTGCCCGTATCCATATGTTGTCTCAATTCTTAAGTAACAATAACAGTGAATGTCTGTATCACGAAATGTAGCATGGTCCTAATGGCTCAGGAACGAAGCTCCTTATTAGTTACAGCATTACATTGAATATAAAATATAAACAATGTTTTTTCTTTCTAAAGTAAGTGCACCATCTAACATCCTTAAATGTGAGGATGCTATTGTGGTCTGTTGTTTAACACTTAAAAACAACTAATGTTTTTACATTGGAGATGTGTTGATCAAGGATTCATATCCGATGCATGTAAGACTGCAACCTGACTAAGAAAGAACATTATGGATAAGTTCGTTAATTTATATCGTTTTTTGTAGGTATGGCTGTATAACCTTGGATTTGGAAGTCTGGTTTATAGAGTTGAGAAGGTCTGTGATAATTCCGGTGAAGATCCAACGTGTAGTAGGTAAGCCTATTTCTGTATGGTTTTGATTGTGGTGGAAATTTATGTAGGTAAGCATATGCTGCTCCGAATCTTCATTTTTCTTGAAACATCTATGGTCAACACATTTTGAACGTGTATTTTGGATATGGACCTCCGAATACATGAACTTAAAGAAAATATTGAACATACCCGTGTTGGACACCTACGATAATCGCACTCAAGTTCTAGTAGAACAACTTAGCACGACTAATTAGAGTTATTGTTGCAGTTCAGTGTCAGGTAACAGCATCGTGGACCATTTGAGTTATTACGGTGTTGATTTAATGTGCCGAGAATGGATATCATGCAGAATCGTGATGGATCCTCAGGTTGCGGAGTATGGCAAAACAGATCTCAAAGGAAATTTCATTTTGTCCAGAGCTCCGGCCACGCGTGTTAACATCCGGTCAACTGAAGGGGAAGGTAAAGCCAGTGCATAAATTTATCAGTTCATGGTTTTTCCTGGACGATGACCGGCGCTGGTACCACGGTTCAGCCTAGTCTTAAACATTCTAACATTCAAGCAATGTAAAAAAGGCCAATGAAAATGAACATAATGTAGGTTTTGATTTAGGATTGAATTTTATGTAAATAATTTTCAAAACTGTTAAAAATGTATTAAACGTTGTCGTATTAAAAAGAATTAATAATTTAATATGCCTATAGAAGATGAATTAATATGAATACAAATTAAAATCATAATTGATATGAATATTAATTAAAATTGTCTGCATTTGTGAATATACATAATATAATTCGAATGGGTAAGATCAAAATTAATTATTCTAAAATCTAATTAAACTTGGGGGTTGTTTGATAAATTAAAATGATTAAGGACTGAATGATTCAATGGCTTGAATGATTTAAAGATTCTGTATGAATTGGCTCTGAATGTGACATGTTGTTTGATAATGGTTCTAAATATACAATCTGAATTATGAATATTTTCATTTTTACTTTCATAATGATTTATTATATTATAAGATATGATTGTTTAATAAGACAACATGTGAAAAAAATAAGTATAATGGTAAAATACTAGGTGCTTAATGATTCAGAATGTACTTTAATGCTGAATCATTCAGTAATGTTTTGATGTTTCATTCAGCATAATTTTCATTCAAATGTGAGAATCAAACACGTTGAATGCTGAACGGTTTAGTATTCATCGATGAATTCAGCAGCGCTGAATGATTCCATTCAGCAGTAAACAAACAACCCCTTATTATATAAGATGTATTCAGATTGAGAACATTAATATTAAAATTTTAAATCATAACAAAAGCTAAAATTAAAAACCTATGGTATTTATATTTGGGTAGGTTCGAAATTGATGGAATCTTTTAATTATTTTAGCATATGTTAATATTTATAATTTATTTAATCAAAATTAATTTATCAATACAAATAATTATTTTTTATTAAGTTAAATTGATTATAAAGATAATATTTGTTCTAAATACTCCTAATTATTTGACAATGAACGTTCAATCATCCTACTACAATCATTGATGCTTAAACCCATGACCTCTAGAAACAACAATAATTTTTTAACTACTGAGATAAATTAGTTTGTGCTTATCAATGCATATAATTATATATTAATTAAATAAATAACAAATCACACAAACTTTTCTTTAATTTTTTCCTCCCACAATTTTATTTTATTTTCTTTACATGATAAAACATCAAACAATAATACCAACATTTTAGCTTCTAGGAGCAAATCTCTTCTGCAAAGACAGAACAGCCAATGCAACCAAACCAATGAAAGCAAAGGAAGCGACCAAAGACATAACAATGGAGATGGCGATTCTGTCGCAGAAATTGTCGAAAACATTGCAGACTTTGTTCCATTGAAGATGAGAGTTCCCTTTGTAGCCGATAATACCGACAGCCAAGGCCGCCCCGTTGGCCGAAAACAACAACCCGACGACGGTTACATCGAAGATGATGATGGTTTGGGCAACCCCTATCTCTGCGGTTCTGGTTGCTAACACGATGAGCGTCGAAATTGCTGCGTATGCACTTGCTGCTATGTTTGCCACCATCAAATACCTACCAACACAGATTCAAATGAATAAATAATTTTGGAGTAGTATGACGTAAATGAATAGATCGTTCGATGAACTTTTCGTAAACAATTATAACTTTATTAAGTTAAGTAAAATAGTATGAACAAAACTTTTATGTTCATTTAATAAACGAACAAATATGAACACACAAACAAAAGTGTGTCCGGTTCGTTTGTGTTCACGAAAAAACTCGTTTGAAATTTTGTTTATTGGCTCATTTATAATCTTGTTATCGACTAGCTCGTTTATTCGGTTTTACTTTCCTTTTATTTTTTTATATTTTAAATATTGGTGAATGTAGGGACTAAATTGAATACATGATGAACTTTAGAGTTCAAACTCTGAAGCATGATGAGTTAAGGACTAGTGGCATAATTTCACTAACATGTTGACAAACTCTAATCGAACATGTTCGTGGACGCTAGACGAACCGAACACAAACACGTTAAAAAATAAACAAATAAACATGACCCGAACATGAACACCTTCAATATTAAACAAACAAACACAAACATAGTCTTGTTCATTTAAACTCGCCTCATTTACATCCATAGTAACAAGTTTTAGGGTTGAGCGAAGAAATCAAACGCTTTATAGTTTATAAGTTTAAACGTCGTGTTAAAATCAATATGATATTAACTAAATTCTATTTTTTACAACAAAATATTCAAACCCTAAATGTTATCTAAACGACCCAATGTCTCGTATCACTAAATCAACCGATAATAAACAAGAAAATAAACTTACACCAAGGCAGACAAGTAATGCCACTTAGCTTTGAAAGCAACGTCGACAACAGGAAAGGCTGGGCTAAACTGTATCGGAAGGAACTCGGTCTGCTTATTTACCCCAATAACAATGGCTGCCGCAAGCGTTAGCAGCAGTGCCAAAACCCTTAAAATCGACTCACATATACTCACTTTTGCCGACATTTTCACGCACTATTCCCACACTACTCCTCACCTTCTATATATCTTCTTGCCTCCCCATTCTTTACAACATTTATGCATATATACATGCATCATATACGTGTAAATATATTTTTGAAAGATAATATATTGTTTAATGTACATGCATTCAATGTGTGGTGAGGGTGTAGGGAGGGGTAAGAGTGTTGAATATGCATTAATAAGAGATGAAGAGATGATGTGATTTGATAGCTTCTATCAAAAAGTGTGGATGATACCTAAAAATGTGACATATTATAAAATTAATTAGCAAATAAAGAAGGTATCTTTCAATAATTTTGATCGAATAGTATGGATGATTACAAGATAACATTTGTTCAAAATCTTTCTTAACCATTTACAATACACAGAGTCATCTCGAACAATTTCGGGGCCTGAGTGAAACTAAAAATAGACCTTTATAGAATAAAAATATATTCTATTACTTTGAAAATTAATTTAATATTACGTTACTAAATCTTAGAAAAATGATTAAATTAAGAGCCTAAATTATAAAAGTAAAAGGTTGGATTGAAAAAATTAGAGTCCTCAATTATAAAGGTAAAAAGTGAGATTAAAAAAAGTAAGGGTTTCAATTATAAAGGTAGAAAATGAGATTACAAAAATTAACGGCATCAATTATAAAGGTAAAAAAAATTGCCCGTCCAGCTCAGTTGATAGGGCGTAAGACTCTTAACCTTGTGTTCGTGGGATCGAGTCCCACGGTGGACAATTCATAATTGCCGGAGGTCTTCCACGGAAGTTGCTCTCAACCTAGCGTTGGGGGCACTCTCCTACCTCCCCTTACCCCATTATATATGTAAATAGGGTCAGCTAATTATTAAATTATAAAGGTAAAAAGGATGAAAAAATTAGGGACTCAATTAGTAATATTAAAAGTGAGATTGAAAAAATTAGAAATCTTAATTACAAAAATAAAAAAAGTTAGATTGCAAAACTTAGGGGCCTCAATTATAAAAGATTTTTTAAAATTAATTATTTCAATTACAAAAACAAAAGTATGATTGAAAAATTAAGGATCCTATAAAAATATGAGGGCCTTGAGCAATCGCTCGTCTTACTTCTTATAATAGTCGGCTCTAACAATACACATGTCGTACAAATATAACTATTTAAGTCCAAGACCTCAAAGAAGAACACTCTTTTTAACGACTGATATTACATGATTTATAAAAATGTGCAAAGACACCTTTTCTAAAATTATTATATAATAATTACAATTGAAGGCGTAAATAATATATATATATATATTTTTGGTACTCAAAAAGTTTAGGTCAAGGGTGGTTCCCCAGTCCAGGGCCAGAGTATACCTAAGACTCAATTGGGATTTACATAAGACTTTACAGATTGCCCACCAAGAGTGACGGTGGCGAGATTCGAACTTGTCCTTACAAACGTAAATTCCTGAATCTCAACCACTTGTGCCAACACTAGTTGGCAACGTAAATAATATATTAATTAATCTTAAATATCATCATGAAGCGTTCATTGGCTTAAAGCAGGTTTTAACAACATTTATGGGCTTCAAAATTTGATATTTAGAGCATTAAATGGCGGGAAAATACAGTTAAGTATCAGTAAATTGTATACACTAGCTTATATCTAGCTAATGCTAGGGTTTTCATTTATTTAATTTATTTAATTAATAATAAAACTGTTTTAAAATTAAGTTGTATTGAACTAATTAGATATATGACAAATGTTTAGGATTATTGAGTTTTCAATTAATTAACGAGTTGATATACCACATTAATAATTTTAAATGAATATTTATTTATTTATGAAAATAATGCATATTTATCTTTTAGAGCAAATTAGATATGAATACTAAAATAAAATATCAACATTTGAACCTATAAAAATATCTATTGGGCTTACTTCAAATTAAAAAAATATATACATATTAGGAGCAAAATTCCCCTTTCCTCCCATAATATAGAAATTATTCAAATATATATATATATATAGACGATTTTTTTATTTTTATTTTTAGCAAAATTAGTGAAATAGTGAGATTGAAAATTTTATTTAATTTAGTGGACACAATTTTAACATGAAATTGATTAAAAAAACTGGATTTTTTTTTGTTGAATAGAGGTGTATGGGACCGCCTAGCTGCCCGTTATATCATCTAATAACAACTCCTCAGTTTCCTTTGGGTAATTTTGCAGAAAAATTGTGTTTTCATGGTGCTACCACATCTGTTTAGCGACAAAGTCAACAACGCTATTGGCCTCCCTTGGTATGTGCTTTAGATCCACTACCCAATTTCTCCTTAACAGTAAAAAACTGGCTTTTATTAGATTTTCACTGGTTTAAGTTCGAGTTTTTGGTCGATCAACAACTATTTTATTATTATTTAAATAATAATAAAATATGATTTTATACTAATATTATATTTGTATCTAAAATTACTAAGTGTAAAATAAAATTAATTAAAGCCGAATTTATATAGGCTAAAAAGGGTGTTTCAATTTTGAGGGTGGTTTAGTTAAAGTGATTAGGTTTTGACTATGAGCAATTAAGATTAGGCAAAGGATAAGGTTTCAACCAATATCACTTTTCAAAGCTTATAATTTTTTTATTATATTTTTATTGATGATTTGATTTTATATTTTTTAATATAAATTCTTAAAATTTCACACTCTTTAATATAAAATAATGATGTTTCATAAAATAAGCCTCTATTTTCTTATAATTTTGTTACGATTTTCAACATTTTATTCGTTTACGATATCACCTATATGAGATGAGTTGAAGATGTATTAAGACGGTTGTACTTTCTAAAAAAAATTAAATTTTTATATAATTTAGATATTTTATTAAAGTTTTTATCGATGATTTAATTTTATACCTCTTATATTTCTAACATAAATTCTTAAAAAGTCACACTTCCTAATATAAAGTAATGATGTCACATAAAATAAGACTCCATCAATTCTTAATGGAGAGCGGCAGTTCTTTTTGATAAATAATGTGTAGATGTTAATTTTTTTTTAAAAAAAAAGAGACTCGAATCAACAAATGATTAATGATAAACATGATATATAAATTGTTATTTATTTACAATAAAATTAGAGAAAACCGAAAGAAAGAAAAAAATGTTGGCCAAAAGCCAAAGTAATTAGGGATGGGCATGGACCTGAACCCGATCCTACCCTACCGGGTCATTTTTTTAAAATTTGGATTATGTTCAGGTTTTTTAAAGGTGATATTCGGGTCGGGTCGGATTCGGGTTTATGATGAAAAATACCCAACCCGACCCGACCCAAAAAAAAATATAATTTTACCTTCTATATTTAGGAATAATTATAATAATACCCCTCTATATATTTTTTTTTTAAAATTAAATTACTGTTTTATTGAATAAAAATAATATTTTTATTGTTTCGGGATGGGTCGGATCGGGTTTGAATTTTATTTCAAAAAGTCGGGTCGGGTTTGGGTCAGGTGGAGAGTATATATTCTTTGGGTCTGGTCAAGTCGGGTGAAGGATGTAAAATTTTCGGGTCAGGTCGGGTCGGATTCGGTTTAGGATGAAAAATACACAACCCGACCAGACCCAAAAAATATATTTTACCTTATATATTTAGGAATAATTATAATAATACTCCTCTATATATTATTTTTTTCAATTAAATTACTGTTTTATTGAATAAAAATAATATTTTTATTGTTTCGGGATGGGTCAGATCGGGTTTGAATTTTATCTCAAAAAGTCGGGTCGGGTTTGGGTCAGGTGGAGAGTATATATTCTTTGGGTCTGGTCAAGTCGGTGAAGGATGTAAAATTTTCGGGTCAGGTCGGGTCGGATTCGGGTTTAGGATGAAAAATACACAACCGGCCCGACCCAAAAAAATATATAATTTTACTTTATATATTTATGAATAATTACAATAATATCCCTCTATATATTATTTTTTAATTAAATTACTGTTTTTATTAAATAAAAATAATATTTTTATTGTTTCGGGATGGGTCGGATAGAGTTTGAATTTTATCTCAAAAAGTCATGTCGGGTTTAGGTCGGGTGGAGAGTATATATTCTTCGGGTCTGGTCGAGTCGGGTGAAATGTAAAATTTTTGAGTTGAATCGGATTGGCCGAACCCTGACCCAAACTCAACCCAAACCCATCTCTAAAAGTAGTTGCCTCATAAAACTAAGTTGTTGGTGGTGCTGTGATAGGAAACAAAAAAGAGAGTAGTCGTAATTGTATTGGAGACGAAGAGGTTACTTATTTTTACCGCTATGTCACATGTTCAATTAACGATTTATAATTATTTTTTAATAATCTAAAGTGATTAAAAGATAACAACTGTATTTAAAAGTGTATACATATTGAAAGTAAATTGTTCTTATGCTAAATGTGATTAAATTTAATATTTTCATATCAACTAGTATTTGCATGGATAGGCACCTGCAGGTTTCTTGTATTGCAAGGAATTATACCGACTTTGTTGTTATTTGGTTGTTCATATCGAAAAGTGTATGTTTGTGTGTATATATTGAAATAAAATTATTTGAACAAATCATATGTTTATTCTTATGTTAAATATGATGAAATTTAGTATCTGCATTGATAGACAACTGCAGGTTCTTTTGTAATGCAATGAATTGTACCGACGTCGTTGTTATTCGATTGTTTATATCGAAAAATGTATGTGTATATATACAGAAAGCTAATTATTTGGATGAATCATATGTTTTTTCTTATGTTAAATGTGATAAAATTTAGTGTTTCCATATCAACTAGTATTTGTATTGATAGAGAACTGCAGGTTTCTTGTAATGCAAGGAACCATACCGATTTCATTGTTATTTGGTTGTTTATTCAACATTTTGCGTTTTTTGCAGATCATCATAGAGTTGGATTATTTGCTGTTCTTCCCATGGATGTCGTTTCCGGTGCTAAGATCAATAATTTCCGGGCAATCTCAGCCGGACTGAGAGCTATGAAACTTCACGGTTTGGAAGGTGTTGAACTGCCTATATACTAGGGAGTGGTCGAAAATCGGTAGGAGCTCCCGATGCTTTTAAGCAGATTAAGAAAAACATGTCGGATGAGAACCTGATATACTCATTCACTTTCCTGAGGATGGGAAACCAATTCTTCACACCGAAGCATCTCCCTTCGTTCTCCGAGTTTGTCCGGAGCTTGAGCCAACTGGAATTGCATTCCGACGATCCGTTTTCTAAAGAATCCGTCTCTGTACATATGCAAGCAGCTTAAAGAGATAGAGTTGAGGACAAGTATGTGTACATAAGATCAGCATGTATTTTGTATTATGAAAGGGGATATCTGAGTATGTGACCAAGGGTTAATTTTAGTGTAAATTATTATATTCATTTTAAATTATAAAACAGAAATATTTTAAGTAAATAAAAAGTGGATTCTGATGATAAAATACAAATCTGTGTTGGAACCATGGATCCTTTATTCGCAAGCAATCTTAGTGTCGAAGCTGCCGAGGCAGATAGCAAATGCTTCGAATTCTGAGATCGGATACCGGTAATCCATGGTGAATAAATTTTCCGACTTTCCCGAACTGGAGGATGATCTTTCGGTTTTCCGGAGAATCTACCAACTGAAAGTTTTTAACCGAAGCGACCGTCACTCGGCCACGGAAGTTCAAGCGCCAACAACGGAGTCGTTCGTCCCACCTCGGAGCCTTATTTATCAACACCAACACATCGTTCTCTTGACTGGACAAAGATCCCGATCGAAATTTGCCCGTACTAGCTGATTTTTAATAAACAATCCGATTTGGTCGAGATACATTTGTGCTGCACCGTGACAACTCAGCCCGGGTTCGAGCAGCACCTTCAGGTGCAATCGAAGTGGCAGGGATGGTTTCCATTGTACACTGCATTCTCCTTGGACCCCTGGAAGTCATATACAGTACATATGTATCAGCTCTTCGGGCTCGAAAGCGAGGGTCAGATATAAGTATATATCCGATATAATCACTTGAATCGTTACGCAAAATAATTGAACTCTTACCTTAAACCAAAAACATCCAATTCATATGAAATGTGAGCCACAGGATAGTTTGGTAGCCTAGAATGGTTATTCTTAGCCATCTTCAAACTCGTATAGGAAGATCGACGATCGAGTATGATGAATCGGTTGCTCAAATAATTCGATCTTTGCCAAAAAGAAAGAAGAAAACATAAAACTTTTGTTTGTGGTTTATGTTTCTCTAAGTTTTTTAAAAACATTATATTCAACGTATATTCGAATATATATTCATATTCGACACTCGTATCAAAATCGAACTCACCTCAATTTCCCAACATAAGAACTGCTCCCCTTGGACATATGCTCGGCATTTAGCGAGATGATATACTCATTACAAGTTGCATGGCTATACTTGCAAGCAACAAGTAGGAACTTTCCATTATTGGTTACACTTGTATCTAACACATTAAAAAAATTTAAAAATAGTGAAGATAATATTTAAATCGAATATTTGTACTCGAATTCGAATAATATAAATAAAAATGGAGTAATATTTTGAAGAAGAAAATGCTCACCATTAGTTAAAGCAAGGTAAAGGCAATATGTTTGAGTGGATCGGTTCCGTTTTATGAAGCACTGGAGTAGACCATCCTTGGGACCAGGCTGCAAAGAGAGTCCAATAATAGAAGATTGAATGCTGCTCCCCATAAAAAATTATAGGGTAAACTGAATATTTAGTACTTAAACTATCAATTTTGGTCCATTTTAGTAATTAAACTTTCAATTTTTTCAAAATCATACTTAGCGTTTAGTTTTTGTTTCATTTTAGTATCCGCCATTAAAAACTTAATGCGTTTAGTACCTAAACTATTAACTTTGGTCTGTTGTAGTACTTAAACTTTCAATTGCTTTCAAAACATAACGTTAAATTTTGAACGAGGGTTCTAAAATCAAACAAAAACTAAACTTTAGGTATGATATTAAAAAAAATTGAAAGTTAAGGTACTAAAACAGACCAAAATTAATATTTTAGGTACTAAATGTGTAATTTACCTAATAATTACATGTAGAATTTTAAATCTAAAATACTTGGGTTTCATTTTTTGTCAAATATATTTATATTTAATCTCGTAATAACATAAATATAAATATAAATATAAAATATATCTTTCAAATATATATTTAAAATTTTAAGAATATATTTAAAACTTGAATAATATTGACCAAACCCGTACTTGTATTTGACATTGACACTCACACTCGAATCCGAATACCATGGATAGTGGTCATACTTGTTGAGCTGCACAAACATGCACATCTTTACACAAGCACACATACTAAATCACTAATATATTGGCCTTATCTCATTAAGGCATTATTTCTCTGGTTAAACAAATACTATCTACTTATTGCTAATCTTTATCCTAATATCTTTTCTCTGTCTTCATTTATGGTGGCCTTGGTGCCATTGAGATTTTCAAGAAAATGAATATTGAGGATCTGCAGATAGGGGATTATCTTGGTAACATTCATGCTACTATCTCTTTTCCACATGTAATTGTTAGATTGTATGTTTTAGTCTTTTGCTAATTCTCCTCACTATCTGAACTGCAGCAATTGGGGCAATCTTTTCTGCCACAGATTCTGTTTGCACTTTGCAAGTATGTATGTTAGAGATCTAGGTTGCGGTTACAATCGGCAACCAGTAACTGTGCCGAGCGATTGGTCCTCTATTTCTTTGTTCAGGTTCTTAATCAAGATGAAACACCTCAGTCTGGTTTTCGGGGAGGGAGTTGTTAATGATGCCACATCAGTGGTTCTTTTCAATGCAATCCAGATGACCTTTCTAACATCAACACTACCATTGCTCTGCAATTATTTGTGGGGAACTTTTTGTATTTGATCATATCAAGTACGTGCAACGACTGGTGGTATTGCATTTGTTTCTTAAGAATTTTCTCTAAAAATATAGTATCCGCGCGGACGTGTCGAAGACATATATTACCACGACCACGACCAGAGACGGGACGGCGGCGGTACGCGAGAGTCCCCTTGTTCTCTTCCACTCAACAAGGAAGTGGGAAATCCAAGCCTTAAAAACCCATTCCCAATAATGTTTCCAATACTATGTGGGATTGAGCATTGCCAATACTTGGGAATCTTTTACACTATCGCAACACATTCTTTATTGTTTCAAACTCCACGTGAATTTGGAATAGTAAAAATGTAAACTTATTTTGGATTTTTCACTATCGCAACACTTTTTCACTATCGCAACAACACGTTTTTCAAACTCTCGCAACACATTTTAACTATCGCAACACATTTTTTAAAATCGCGTTGCAAATCTTACAATCGTGTTGCGAATCTGGATATTCGCGTTGGGCATTTGGAAACTGAGTTAAAAAATTAGAGTTCGCATTGCGAATTTAAGATCGCGTTGCGATTTTGTTGGTCATTTTGGCAAATCCAAAAAATTGATTAAAATCGTATATTATAAGGCATTTTCGGTCACTGAAGTTATTTTCTCTTATTAAAAAGCTCTATTTTGGAAGGTTTGTATATTAGTCCCATGTAAATAATTCTGCCTCATTTAACTAGCTGATGAGATAAATTGAGTTGTCCAGTAGTTTCATGATATATAAAAATGTGAAATAGTTGAACATTCTCAACCGTAGTCTATAATACTTGACTGTGAGTATCGGATACGGGTATATAACACCCCACGCTTCCTATGTAATTATGTTGTTAACACTATGCAGGTTTTCGGATTGTTGACTAAACCATTAATTAAGATCCTGCTTCATTCATCGAAACATCTCACCAAAATGCTTTCATCTGAACCATCTACTCGTAAATCATTCATCGTGCCATTCCTCGACAACGGCCAAGAATCCGAGGTCGACCAAGGAAACCGAAATGTACTCCGACCAAGCAGCTTAAGAATGCTCTTGACCACTCCTTCCCACACCGTGCACTATTATTGGAGAAAATTCGACGACACCTTCATGCGACCCGTATTCGGTGGAAGGGGTTTCGTACCCTTCGTTCCCGGATCACCGACCGAACAAAACGGTCATCAATGGCAGTGAACGAGGAACTCGAAGCCGGTGTTTAGCAGGTGGTAAAATCGTTGTGAAACCGGCTCAAAAGTTGGGTTTTAGTGTAAAACTTGTGTCGTTAATATAGATGAGAGTTTTAAAGATTAATTATAGCAGCAATTTTGTCCAGCATTAGCTGTTTATCATTTGATTGCATTTTCATGTATTTGTTGTTGTGTCAATAGTGGGATTGTATTTTGACCTAAATGTTTAGTTTCTTAAAATGTTATAAAATGTATAAATATTTGATATGAAAATATAAAAATTATCTTTAAAAATACTTTAGCGTTACATTAACTATTATTTTCAGAGCGGTTTAAACCGGATTTGGATTAGAAAAAAGTACGTTTGTCAGTCCGGTCTTTAGTGAACTTGAATCAAGTATGCATATCTTGGAGGGTAGCAAGGTAGTCAGTACGGACATATTGGTTTAAATATTTCTATATATAATATTAATAAATGCATTAACTATATACAGGAAATAAATTTATACCTTAACTATATACAAATAAATAAATCTATATAAGAATATAAATCATAAAATTATTAATTAGGTTTAACCAGATTTATAAATATAATTATAAAAAATTAAAAATAATTAAGACAGTTATTATAAAAAAATATTAAATTCTCGCACCAAACAAATTGAGATGATACACGTTGCTAAGATTCGGATTGACTGAAATAAGTTAAAATACATTACAATTTTGACCAAACTGGAAACTATTTGATACTAAATTATGGTTAATATGGGTCTCAACTCTCTCTATATATACAATTATAAAAATATTAATTAAATTTAATAATTTCATTAAATAAAAAATATTTTATTTATAAATGAAAATTTACAAAAAAAAAAGTTATTAAATTATAATATCAACCAAACATTGATAAAACCAAAACTGATCGAAATATATTAAAATTTTGATCAAAATAATTTGAATTATTTAACACATAAAGTTAAATTGAAAGTGGTGAAGTTGGACACTTGCATGCCATCGATTTGGGTAAAATGGATAAAGGAAAAAACAATAAGATACGAGGCATGCATGGTTTATATAGTTACATGATAAAAAGCTGCACTTTAACAATAGAAACTCACCTCTGAATCATGAATCATCTAGACCAGAGCTCCATAAGACATCCTCCATGTCCTATCCACAATGCCTGCAACAAAATCTATGAATCCGGATTTAAAAATTTAATTTAAAATTTCAGTCCATTTATTATCCGCTTCAAATCGAAGTAAAGATTACTAAATTATGTTGAAATGATTATTTTAAATATTAAACTTTTACAATTATAAAATAATAATTAATCAAATTGTTATAAATAGTCAATATGATGACATCATAATAATAGTAAAACTTTGACAAATTTAATAACCATTTTGAAAAAAAATAAAAAATTAATGATTATTTTATAACTTTTGAAAGTTTGATGATCAAAATAATCATTTGAACATAGTTCAGTGATCTTTAATATATTTTTATCCTTAAAGGTCAGAATATAATTGTTTGAATAAAAAAGTACAGCATATAGATGTCATTGAATTATAGTAATATGATTGTTTCGATCATTTAACTTTCAGAAATTATAAAATAATTATTAAATTTATCAAAATATTACAAAAGGCTCAATGTGATGACGTTATAATAATTATAAAATTTTGAAAAGTTTTATAATAATTGGATAAAATTTAATGACAATTTTGTAAGTTTTGAAAAATTTAGATCAAAATGATTATTTGAATCTAGTTTAGTTACGTATGATATTGATCCTAAAAACGAATTAGATAGGGACATCACGAGCTATTTGGAGATGTACCTGAAAAGAAGTTCAAACGCAACGCGGCAGCCGCTGCAACTCCGAGAGAACAAGGGAAGCAACATTAGCCAATCCATGTATATTTGAGCTTTTCAACTCAGAAACTATGCCTTGAATCCGTGTAATCTCCGGTCCCGATATCGATAATATCATAGCCTGAGATAAGTATTGCCTACAAGAAAAACCAACGGCGTGCAATAACCTCTTCAAGAGCAAGTGAGAGTTGCCGTTTCCCCGCCACGACTCGAGGATCGAACTGGCCTTCGAAAGATTAGTCAGGAACCCGGTCGTGGCTTCCCTTGGAGCTGCCTTGAGCAACAAGACAACACATTCAGAGGCTACATCAGCAATGTGTGGTTCAGGATATGCACTTAACTCCAACAACACTCCAACATTGCTGCCAAAGTCCATTATATCACTAATGCAGCCTCTCGACTGCAACGAACCATCGAGTAACAGAGCGGGTTCCTTCGTGTAAACGAAACCATTTCCGATAGAGCGGAGAAGGAAAGCTTTGAACAAGCCGAGAGTTGGCTCAAGGAAATCTTCCATGTCCTTTGCATTTACGAATTCCAGCAGATTGCCAATTTTTCGAACCACCTTTAGCTCCGAAAGTAACTTGGAATCCATCTCTGGAGCAGAAGCCAATGCTAAACAAAGCTTGACATTGTTCACATTTGCATTCGTTAGATCTCCAAGCAAAAATCCGAAACATTTCGAGACCATTTTCGGATCTAAAATGTCGGGGATTTTGATATAATCGAACTCGATTAGCATCACTAGCAGCTTCTGCGCATACATGGGAATGGGATCTTCATCTTCAATCAAGAGGGGGTAGAGTGGAAGAAAATGAGAATTAGAGACCAATCTCAGATCCTTTGAACTAAGATCGGTCAACGAAGGTTCATTCAAGAAGATCATCATCAAATCGAACATGATTTTCAGGCACAAAAATCTGGCATTTCCATCTTTGTTTCCCTTGTAAAGAACAGCAAGGCTAGGGAGAATTCCTTGAATGAAAATATTAGAGCTTTCAAGAATGACGGGAGATTCCTCAGGAATAGATTCCAGAACTCGTAACAATGTTATTTGGAAATCGTCCCGTCCCTGGTGAATGAAAAAAGATAGCCTGTATTAGTACATGAATCTTCGAGAGAAAAAAATTTAACACACAGTTGGCCTATGTCGATTCGGCCACTATAAATAGAGATCGTTTCTTGTTTACAAAGAAAATTTGCATAGAAAAAAATCTACTCAAATTGAGTTTCCTATTCTTCATTAGGAATTGAATTTTTACATCCTGCATTATAAGTTCCCAATTTAACCTCTATCTTAAGTGAATTTCTTTTTAATCATTTTAAATTCCAATAAAAAAAAATTGGGTCACACAACTCTAATATATATAAAGATATGAACATTAATACATTGAAAAACTTAGAGAAATCAAACATTGCTATGTCATGAATATACTCGTGTACATCGCTCACCCCCCAAGTACAAATAATTGCATTATGTGCACCATTTATTATATTCGACGCTACCCATGCCTTGACTTTGTAAACAAAAATGAAACAAATGCTCTCAAAAGTTTATAACTGATGACGACATCAAAAGGATGGCTGAGATAAAACTACATACCTGAAATGGTGTCTCAATAACTTGGATAAGATTCGCCAACTGCCGCAAGACCTGATGAGTCACCAATCTGTTCTTAAACGATGAGCTCTCGAGAAGATGAAGGACTACAGGGAACAAGTGAATATTGTTCTTCGGAGCAGTACGACTGATAAGGGCAGTGATCTGCCCGTGTCGTCTTCCTCCCATCATTTGCTGGATATCTCCGGTTATACCATCCAATAAGGT